AACAGTGATAGATTCTGAGCTTCATGATATAACAAAAGCATAGAATCTCAATTATTACGTGATAGTTTTCGTATCTTCGTTTCTTCATATTGAAGATTATAAATAAATGAAAATGTACTTTTGTTTGATAGATGTTCGTTATTCGTTAACTACGACCGTAAGAGACTTATATTTAAATTTAAGATTCGGAAAAAAAATACACTAGGCTCGTTATCGTGTATAAGAGTTTTGAGCTGATTTGCAGACGGGAAAATTCAAATCCAATTTTTATTTTTTAATATATTGAAAGAAAATAATGCAAAAATAACTAAGAGGGTTAAAATGGTAATTTAATAATGTTATTTACAAACTTTTAAATTGAAATTTAGTTTGAATTTCTCTAGAAATTAAAAAGAAAAAATAACTATTCCGTCGAACAAATTGTCCATTTGTCGGCGGATAGTCAAAAGGTCCAAAATGCCATTGCCATCTTGCAAATTTGGAGATTGATCGAGGTTAGTTTAGTAATTTGATTCTTTGACTTGTGGTCCATAATTTATTCTTTATTATAGATAGTTTTTATTAAATTACAAATGTGGTCCTAATAATTTATAGAAATTTGAATTTAGTCCCAATATTTTGATAAAATCAAATTTAAATAATAAAAAAATAAGTAACAAAGGAATTCTCTCATATAGTTTAAAAAATATAGGAAAATAATTAATATTCAAAGCTTAGAAGAAATTGAAGGGACCAAATGGTCCAAATCTGAGCTTCCAAGACTTCCGGTAGATGACCGGCATCTGCCGGTAAAACCTAAACTCCCTTCTCCTTTCACCAACCCCAACCAATTCTAATCACCCTTTATTTTCTCCCCTCCAATAATTTATTACTTTTTTTTTTTTTAAGCATTACCGGATATTGTCAATATTTAACGCTCCATGTCCAAGATTTGAAATTTAGAATGGGTACCTAATGATCCCGACATTCCTCCCCAGTGACATGGTCACGTTGCTTACAATTTGTTTTTAAGAGTGAAGACTATCCCCACATACTAATACGAGACCTTTCAGTATGTTTTGTAGCCACTTACATGTGTCCTTGGAAAGTTGCTTCAAGCAAAACACGCTCAATTTTAGAGTTCCTATAATTGAGCCATCGTAAAGGAAGGTGGACGTTATTGATATAAGTTAATGACTTCCAATTCTTTTAAGCTTTCTTAGTCATTCTATCATCAGAGTCGCTTAAATATGATCTCGATTCATTCATATACCATTCAATAAAATATGATTGCAGCAAAAAAAAAAAATAATAAATAGAGACTAAATAAAAATTTTGAGGGAGAGAATGGATTATAAATATTTTTAAGGTTAAATTAAAATTTTGATGCTTATAATTTATAAAAATAAAATTACAATTTAGTCCTTATCATAATTAAAATTTGTAATTGAATATTTTTATTTTATTTTAATTTTCCCTTAAATTTTGGATAAGGAAATTGAATTAATTGAAAACAAAATAATTATCCTGATTAAAGCAACGAACCAAATGCTGTGCTTGAAGGGGAAGATTTTTACACCAATCTCCGAAAAAGGATAATTCCCACCGGCTGTATCGGTAACCGGTCGTCAGCGCTATTTCTCTCTATAAATAAGAGCCGCGACTACTTCGTATCTTCGTGTCATCGAGCGCCGATTCCTCTTCTTTGGGTCTCTCTGCTCTGGAATTTCGTCTTCTCTCTTAACCCATTTCACAGATTTTTCCTTTTCCAGGTTCATTCTCTCTCTTTAATGTCTTCCTGTGTGTGTGTGTGAGTTTAGGGAGAAATGGATGTTTCTGCTTTTGAAGTCATTGGGTCGTGTTTGTTTGTTCCTACTTTTAGGGTTTCTGAAATTTTGTTCGTTTTGGGTTTCATTGTGTGGGGATGCTGTTGTGTTGTATTTGTTTTTGTCGGAATTCCTCTCGGATCTGACGGCGCTCTAAGAGCTTTTGTTTTTCGGGTTGGTTTTGGAGTGGTTGTTGTCGTTTTTTGTTTTGAAGATCTGGTTCTTGCTAGTGCGCTGCTGATCTGAATTAGTTAATTGAGATTGCAAAAAGAATGTTCTATTGTAATCCTTTTTTATATTGGTTTCTAATTTTGGTAAACTCTAGTGTTGTGGATATCTATCTGTTCTTGGGGATTTCAACTTTGTTTTCGCTAGTTTTTGTGTTTTGTGAGTATAAACGTTTTCAAATTATAGGATGCTGATTCTTATTCGAGGTGATATGTTCCTTTGCAAATTGAAAATTTCTAGGATAAGTTCATATGCTCATTCTTTGTTGCTGAGCTCATAAATTCTCTATATTTGAATACTGAAGGAGATTTTTCTGTGTGTATTCTTTTCCTTGCAGTTTGGGAGAATGGAGACCTTTCTATTTACATCCGAGTCTGTGAACGAGGGTCACCCAGACAAGCTCTGTGACCAGATCTCTGATGCAGTTCTTGATGCTTGCCTTGCCCAAGATCCTGATAGCAAGGTTGCTTGTGAGACCTGCACCAAGACTAACATGGTTATGGTTTTTGGAGAGATTACAACCAAGGCCGATGTTGACTACGAGAAGATAGTTCGAGATACTTGTCGTTCAATTGGGTTCATCTCGGATGATGTGGGTCTTGATGCTGATAACTGTAAGGTCCTTGTCAACATTGAGCAACAGAGCCCTGATATTGCCCAAGGTGTCCATGGACATTTCACTAAGCGACCCGAGGACATTGGTGCTGGTGACCAAGGCCACATGTTTGGCTATGCCACAGATGAGACCCCAGAACTCATGCCCCTTAGTCATGTCCTTGCAACAAAGCTCGGCGCTCGTCTCACAGAGGTGAGGAAGAATGGTACCTGCCCATGGTTGAGACCTGACGGTAAAACCCAAGTTACTGTAGAGTACTATAATGATAAGGGTGCCATGGTCCCTGTTCGAGTCCACACAGTTCTCATCTCTACCCAGCACGACGAAACCGTCACGAATGATGAGATTGCAGCTGACCTTAAGGAGCATGTGATCAAGCCTGTCATCCCCGAGAAGTACCTTGATGAGAAGACCATCTTCCACCTCAATCCCTCTGGCCGCTTCGTCATTGGTGGACCACACGGAGATGCAGGTCTTACCGGTCGTAAGATCATCATTGACACTTACGGTGGATGGGGAGCTCACGGGGGAGGCGCTTTCTCCGGGAAGGACCCAACCAAAGTGGACAGAAGTGGTGCTTACATTGTCAGGCAGGCTGCTAAGAGCATTGTAGCCAGTGACCTTGCTCGGAGAGCAATTGTTCAGGTCTCTTATGCCATTGGTGTGCCTGAGCCATTGTCAGTCTTTGTCGACACGTATGGAACCGGGAAGATACCCGACAAGGAGATTCTCAAGATCGTGAAGGAGAACTTCGACTTCAGACCCGGAATGATCACCATCAACCTGGACTTGAAGAGAGGTGGGAATGGCAGATTCTTGAAGACAGCCGCATATGGACACTTCGGAAGGGATGACCCAGATTTCACCTGGGAAGTTGTGAAGCCCCTCAAGTGGGAGAAGCCTCAATCTTGAGATGGGTTGCTCTGCTCTGTTGAGAACGGCCATGGAAATTGGGAAGCCGAGCTTTGTTACTACTGGATGAATAATGTGGGTGCTGCCCTTATACAATCTAAGGTAGTAGCTGCTAATGTTCTATCTTTTTGTTACTTTTTTTTTTTTTTTTTTTTCCCTTTCTTTTGTTGTTGGTTATTTTACGTTGATGATGCATCCTTTTTGTACCAGTTGTTATAATATGAAAGGGGATTCTTTCCAAGTTCAAATTCTTGTTGGTACTGAAAGTAAATGTCTGCGTTGACTGTGACGACAAGTCATAGTGGCTGTTTGACTTACTTCAGTAAGAGGGTGTAAAATGTATTTGTTTATGAATCATTAGTAGCTCTAGAAGGTTGTGATGGTTAAAACTAGGGTTCTTTGGTTTTTTTCCCCATTCTCTCTCCAACGATCTAAATAGAAAAATACTGTCCTCTTAGTCCTTGCCAAGAATACTGTCATTTAAGTCACATTTGCTTAAAATAATTTTATTTTTAAAAAAATTTCAGTGTTACTATTAGTCGCTAATATAGATGCTTAGCTTCATTAGAGTAGTGTTTGTTTGAACATGGGAGTGACTAAAACACTTGGGCTTTGACTTTTCGTATCATTTTTAATATATTTTTTATTTTTACTCTAATAATAGTTTTGAATTTTTTTTTTTTTGAAATATCTAAGGTTATTATGTGTAAAGAGAATTAGAGTATTTTTCCGATGGAAATGCAAAGTTTAAAAGTTCAAAACTTTTATTGAAAAGGTTGTCCAATTTTAGAAAAGGTAAATATGTGTTGGACCATAATTATAAAATTATAAAATATGTTGGCCTTACGAATGTATTATAATCTTGTAAATGTCACAAAAATTGAAAATTAAGTTAAAGTTCATTCAACAACCTTCATTCATTTTTAAAATGAAGGGGCGGAATCTTTAACTTTTTGGTCGAGAGTAAATGTTCTAAACCAATTATGTTATATTCAAATTGAATAAAACATACTCCATCGAAGAAGAAACTCATCAAGATCAAGGTTTAAAATTCAATTCTCAATCGCCCAAAATAAGATTGCTCCACAAATATGGCTTCAAAGAGCATTCTTCTAGGATAGATTATTTCTAAACTTCTCATCGTGCCTTATTTGTCGCAAGTGCCACTAACTTGTCAATGTATACAGCCTGTGAATATATCCTTGGTGTCAGCTTGAGGACCACCAAAGGCCTCTTATCATTCACAAGATTAGTATTCTCATCAATTAAACGAAATCTATAAGGTTCCTTGATTGGCTGAGTGAGATAATGGAGATTATTGATTTCTAGATATCTCCTCATCAACCAATTGGAAGAGGATGAAGAGATCCACAAGGAGAATTTGTGGGTCTCACCAGACACTATATAAGAACATTTCATACTTCATTCAATTCATCAATAACTTAGAATTCAAAAGCAGGACTCACTTTGGGCTAAAGTTGGTAGGCATGGCAGCCATGGCTCTTTCATCTACCTTTACTGGAAAAGCTGTTCCTTTGAATGCACCAACTGAGCTGTTTTCTTCTGTTCGCAGCAATGGAAGAGTCTCAATGAGGAAATCTGGAAAGCCAGCTTCTTCCTCAGGCAGCCCATGGTATGGTCCCGACCGTGTTAAGTACCTCGGACCATTCTCTGGTGAGCCTCCATCTTACCTGACAGGAGAATTTCCTGGTGATTATGGTTGGGACACTGCAGGCCTATCAGCTGACCCTGAGACCTTCGCTAAGAACCGAGAGCTCGAAGTGATTCACAGTAGATGGGCCATGCTTGGGGCTCTTGGATGTGTATTCCCAGAGCTTCTTTCCAGAAATGGAGTCAAGTTTGGTGAAGCAGTTTGGTTCAAGGCTGGTTCCCAAATCTTCAGTGAGGGTGGCCTTGACTATCTTGGAAACCCAAGTCTTGTTCATGCACAGAGCATTCTGGCCATTTGGGCATGTCAAATAGTGCTTATGGGTGCAGTTGAAGGTTACCGTATTGCAGGAGGACCTCTTGGAGAAATTACCGATCCCATCTACCCAGGTGGCAGCTTTGATCCCCTCGGGCTGGCTGATGATCCAGAGGCATTTGCAGAGCTTAAGGTGAAAGAACTTAAGAACGGTCGTCTCGCAATGTTTTCCATGTTCGGGTTCTTTGTGCAGGCCATTGTAACAGGAAAAGGTCCTTTGGAAAACCTCGCAGATCACCTTGCTGATCCTGTCAACAACAATGCATGGGCTTATGCTACCAACTTTGTACCTGGGAAGTGAAACCATCGAGTCATGTTTGAACAAGCTTTCAATTTCACTACTTTGAGCGCATAGCCTGTAAACTGTACTATCAAAATATTGAAGATCAGCAATCACTATTATAATCAACAAAACTATCTTGCCCAAATCGCTGCTTTATTGATCCCTTGAAAGTACAGAAAAAACTATAAATCGTTTATACAGAACAGCAGTAAATTGAAGTGAAAAGCCATATGCAGCTCAAAGTTGAACGTGCATCTTATCATTCTCCATGAACATGGCAAATATGACAAAAGGGATAAAAACCTATTGGTCAAATTCTCTTAGCTGTGTAACTATTTGGAGTCATACTATACTCGAACTCAACATTGAGCTACAAATAACTTAATGATACTAAAGCACAGAGAAAATTTTTCTAGTCTTTTCTCTAAGGTCCAACTACTGTTACCGTTATGAAAAGAGACCATATGCAGAATCCTCAGTATGGAGAGATGAAAAACCATGTGGATAGGCCCCAATAAGATTCATTTAAGGCCACAGAATAATCAAGGGAAGAAAGACAGAGACGAATGAAGGGCCCACTGAATAACAACTCTTGAAGGAAAAAGAGTGGGCTGGAAGCGCATAGCTGGTCGAGTAAAAGAACAGGTGGCTGTCAGCTATTGGCTGAAAATGTACAAAAGAGTACAGGCCAGGCACAAGGGGTACAGATTTAGTTGGATCATGTGGGCTAAGAGTCTTACTGATTGTGGGGAGTACCTTGCTAAGGGGTATGTATTATTGTCCTGTAAGAGAATATGTTCCCCCGTAATTGACTTCACAAGCTATCACATGCCAAGATTATTTCACATCTTCATCTTCTGCCAGTATCTAAGGATGTAGAAAACACAATAACTTGCATGCCTCTTCCAGCTACAGCAATTTGATAATGGTTCCTGAAGAGAAATAAAGACAAGAAACGAGGGTCAAACTAATGTTGTGACAAGTTTCATTAGGTAATTGAGTTAAACGTTCCACTAACTTGTCACAGGCTCTAGCATCAATGGCCTCCGGTTCTGGCACAGTAATGATCAAGTATGTATACTCAACCAATTTCCCCTGGGCCTCAAGTTTCCAACACCTGATCCTCTGATCAAGACCAGTAGAAAACACCCAAATCCCATCTGTCCAGACACCTATGCAAGGCAAAGAGATATCAGATCTTTCACTAGTTTGTCAATAATGCTGCAAGAAAGTCTTGTTATAAAGTTCTAAAAAAAATGCCGTGTGTGCAAATAAATTTTGGAAAGTTGTGAACGTTTAACTCGAAAGAACACCAGGTTTCAGCATGCTTTTCACAGTATCCTAATATGAATTACTAACCTTCTTGAACGTGTGAAGTGCGCGCATAGGATGATGAAACAAAGTATGAAAAGGCACATTAGATGGGATTGAGTAAATACATTTTCATTTGAGACCAAGAGGTCTGAGACTCTGGATCGACATTTAAAGCAGAATCTAAAATGGAAAATGATAAAGATTTCTTTTTTTTTTTACCTTTTATAGCAGAACTGTGAGCTGATGCAATTTTGAGAGACCTGAGGAACCTAACCATATATTTACGATTACAGTCTTCACTGTGAAGAATGAACCTCTTCATACTTCCAGATTCAGATTCCATTATTTCAGAAATAGGGCTTTCAGAGAGAAATGACAAATCAAATGTAAGACATTGAAGTGCTTGATCGTCACCACCACTGATCACATGGTACAAGAAACAATTATTAACACATTCAGGACTGTTTACAGCCGCTACATGGAGACAATTCACGCCAGATTGATGGACATTGGTTAGAACATGAATTGGCCGTATTTCACTCATCTTAGAGGAAGAATTGCCGGAAGTTAGAACTAGTTCAGAAGAAGCACAACAAACAGGTTCTGAGCAAACTGTATCGGCTTCAGATATGTCCGCTTTGGATGAGCCTTTGCAAGGAACTTGATTTTGTATACTTAAGATGGTATTGTCTCCATCTTTCTTAGTAATCAAATCTTTGCTTGATTGACCTTGGGTCACAGTACTTAAAGATCTCCGCCACCTGCCACCCTGACTTCCTCTTCCTGTACGAGGCCGTTTCTGAAAATCAATGAACATTGCCTGATGAAGAGAAGAGAGACGCTTCATGAATGCTTCAATATTTCCAGTCAGATCCCAAAATGCAATACTTCCATCAGTGGCTCCACTAATGACGATATAAACATTCCCAAACAGAGTTTGTCCAGCTGAAATAAACTTTATTAGAAAATAGTAAAAGAGATTCAAGCTATGAAATACTTGACAAAAAACTAATGCAATACACCAATTCATAATTTTCCCCCTTTCTAGGGACCATGAAACTCTCCATGCAACTGAACCATTCTTAATTCTTTCAAGACAGCAGTATGGTCGACCTGTCAGACATCTTGTGTAATAAATATGAATAATAGGGTGGTGCTGTGATATTAAAGAACTGTGGTTTGGAGTTCCAAACATAAGAAATATGACTGTACTATGATCAGCCCACCAAATAATGGAGCAAGCAGGCCATTTGGCTTACGTTTTAGCTAAAAATAACATGTCAGTTGAGAAGCAAAAGGGAATGAAGGGGTTCCGGTTATAAAATCCAAATGATACACTGGGTATGCTTTATGTTGAGTAATTAAAAAATAATAATGCTTCAGGAATAGAGTCGGCCAAATTAAGACTTGAACGACAGAAATTCTAGCATGACTTTTTCCAACTACAACATAAAATGGGAACGTGAAATAGACACACCTCCATTAGGGTGAAATTTTGGAACAACTACGTGCTGTAGCGTCAAAACTGGTGATCCTACAGGAACCAGTGAAGCAACATCAAACCTGCAGAAAAACTAATTAGGAAAACGTCTGTGAAATATAAGCACACAATAAGTTGCACTGTTAGTTAATCGTTTTTCTCATATTTACCATAATCGGTTAGGTAAAATTAGAGCTCGGAGTGAAAGCGTGGCATCTGAACATGCAACAACGATGAAACAGACAGTAATCCTGGAAAGCCAAAAAGAAATCTTGATGAAAACTAAATTTTAAGAAATGAATAACAAAGAAAAAAAAAACATGGAAAAAAATACAAACCTTGAATTAAAATGTTTAACAAGAAATCCAGTAACTGCCAAGTATCTCCAATCATCTTCATATTTTTCTACAGGGCAAGATTTAAGGCTCAACTCCTCTTTTTCTTGAAGTAAATTGGATTCAGCAACAGGATTTATGCTATAAGAAGACTTGGCTTCATCTTCCCTTATATTGTATGAATTTCTATGAGAACTTGAACGCTTGGTTGGCATATCAGTAGAAAGCCACTTGAAGGAAATTGACGATGCCAATCTAGAGGGCTCATTTCTAACTTCTTCATTCTGTCGTAAACAAGCACTTGTTCCTTCCATTTTCTCTAGTTTCCTATGCTTCTGTAGCCAAGAAGTTAATACTCGCTTCGCACCAGCTGAAATTAGTAAAACAGGATTTTCTGTCAAGTCTGGGTCAGATTCTTGTATATCTTTTACATCAGGCATAATGGTTCCATCTGATGAAATCATGTGTACTTCTGATATGTAGCATATGGATCTCACAGCTGATCCACCAACATGCTCTCCAAGTAAATTTGAAGCAGACCAATTATTGGTGCTAGGATTATACCTATACCATCATACAACTGCATCAAACAGGCTTCTTATCTAGTCTTAACACTATTTTCTGGAACAAGGAAAACTGAAGAGTAACCTTCTTTTCTTCAATAAAATAGGGATAAATATGCTGTAAACATGTCCAGTGCCTTAGCAGTTTGGAGATATATTCATCAAATATTTACCGGTTAGTTTTTTAATTTTGAGTTTGATGCTAGAGACAAATAATAATAGTAATAATAACAATAATAATAACAACAACAACATACCTAGTCAACCTCACAGTCCCATCTTCACAACCAGTTACAATCCAGCTAGATCTGGATAAGATGTCATGCTTGTTATCAGCTTTAGGTTCAACGCCTTCAGGTATAAAACGTACAGAATGCAGCTCTCTGCCATGGAATTGTACGTGCAAATTTTGAGGAAATATTTTTTTCCCACCGTCTGAAACCCAATATCTATGGATATAGATAATTTCATCCTGAAGTAAAAACAAGAAAAGTCATAAACTCCAAGGGACGATCTTGATATCTTACAAAGAGAGATGACAGACATGAAATAGAGAGAGGTGAGGAAAAACCTTGACATATGCAAAACAGTTCTTCAGTTCTGGTACATAACCAAGATAATGAGAATAAGGACGCCGCCATCCACCACATTGTATTTGCAATACCTGCTCCAATCAATGTTGTTTGAGATCCAAATGGAAAAAGAAAGTTGCAAATCGCATGCGTAAGAAAGAGAGAGAATAAACCTTTGATTCAGTGATTAAGTTCCATATAATGAAATCTGTGGATGCAAAGCCAATTGCATAAAGATTGCTTGTCAAATCAAGAAAAGAATTTTGATCATAGAAGAGAGATTGCACTGAAGTCAACTCTCTGACTTGCTTCATCCCTATGAACTCCAAAAGTTTCTGGTCTTTGAGTTTCACATATTCCATATGACATATGCATCCATCTGCACCAGTCTGAACAAGAGCAAACAGCAACAGACCGTCAAGACAAGATCTCCACAAACCAATTGCATCAGAATAAAGATGACTCTAAACACCATTCACAGCTGAAATTTTGTCTATAAAGGAAAAGATAGTATTGTATTCAATAATTAACACTATTGAACAATGGGATTAATGTTATCCCTACGAAAAAACCATAAGAAAAGTTTCTTGTTCTAATCCAGAAAAGATAGTATTGTATTCAATAATTAACACTATTGAACAATGGGATTAATGTTATCCCTACGAAAAAACCATAAGAAAAGTTTCTTGTTCTAATCCAGAAAAGAAGAAAGAAACTCTGGAAAAACAGTTTTAATCAAACACATGATGATCAATGTTACATATCACAAGGAATGCACCTCAGTACGAGTCGGTGACAATAAGCCTACAAGTTAGATAGAGAATATCAACAAAATTTTATGCACTATATCTTTTTAAACAAAGTAGTTGGGAATATCATTT